ATGTATTTATCTACAGTATCTAATTTAGTCTTCATCAAACATGTAAGGGAGATACTGCAATTTTCCTAATTTTATTGTGTGACATTTTCTGATTAAACATAGTTCTTTAGGCGTAACACATTACAATGTGTAATTACTTATAATTATTCATTTGTATTTTAATATCTATTTTCTGCACCAGACTGTGTACTTCACAAGACTAATGACAAGTCCTGCCTACTCACCAATATCCCCAATATCTAGAACAGTGCCTCACATATAGAAAATATCTAATGAATGTACAGTAAATATGCAAGGAACTCTAGAAGGCAGGTGGACAAGGAGAGAAGAAAGAGAATGAATACATTAAAGTCAGTGTAGTGGAGCTAAATTCTAGTCCAGAGCCATCTGACTCCTAAACCAATGCCCTTGATCACTAGGCAGAATAGCTTCCTACCACCTTTCAATAGAAATTTATTGACAAAATACTCTCCTCAACTTTGTAACAAAATTATAGCAAGCATAAAAACTGATGGATATAAATGTGGACATAAGAAAGGCAATTGTAGGAGAGTAAATTGTCAGAGTTTCTATCTTAATAAAAGAATATAGTTGGATAAATGGCATCAATAACATACTGCCCTTGTTTCATAGGAAATAAAGAAAACATTTGAAGTAACTCACCGATGAGTGTGTCCCAGAATGTGTGTATATGTATAGTCTTCAATTTCAAATATTGATAGTAATTGATTAATTAGTGGTTCAGAAGCAATACAAAAATAAAACAGATGGCACCAATTTGATTATGGTGTGATACCATGTTAAAGTGGATGGACACGTCCAAATCTTTTTGTGTTAATGCATTCTTATGCTAAAGTGCCATATCTTCAATCCAGGTACCTGGAAGGCACTTATTCCCAACTACTCTATAACCTTGGACCTCTTAAGGAGTTGTCACATAGCACAGCTGGAAACCAGCATGCCAGAACATGTTCTTCAAACTTAGGGAAGGTATTTTGAAAACCATTTGTTACCCACTAGCAATTACCTGATGGGTACTCTCAGCTGCTACCAGTAATTGTAGGAGTCATGAGAAAATGTGCAGTCTGTTCCTCCGGTGATGTAGGACTAATCTGATAAAACATTTTCTAGATGTCCCTATCTAGTATGGAAAATAAACCAACTCAGGACTTAAAATTTCCACCACCGGGTGATGATTCTACACAGACATTTAGCACAGCATGTTTTGTTAGTGAGCTGAAATGCAGATTGCTGCCAAATAAGAATTGATCATTTAGGGATTTCTCTTTGAAAGTAAAATTTTATAAGCTTGCTTGTATGTACAGTTGTGCTTAGATGCGAAAATTATAGCTAATGAGATTGAACTGAATTATTAGTTGGACATGTCTGTCCCTGGTTGTATCTCTGAGCAAATTCCTACAGTTGTCCTAGAGAATCAGTTGAACAATAATATCATCTCTTTTGAGACAATTTATCATTCTGAGTAGATATACAAACAATGAATGTCATTGCACAGATTGCTTATTGTGCACGACATTCAACATAACTTGATTTTTTTGTCATTTACTCAAATATCTGTTAACTATGTACATTCTATGAGACACTGAATTAAGAAATGAGGAGACAAAGATGCCTTAAACCCTGTCCCTGAATAAGGGTGCTATGAGGTAGAAAAAGAGAGACTTATACGCAGTCGCTATAACTGGAGGCAGTCAGTGGTAAATGCTTAGTTGTTCTTGTTTCCTGAAATGCTCTTCGGACTTCATCCTCCATTCACTATTTGGAAGGAAATCGTATTCCTCCTTAAGGACTCATTCCGAATGATTCATTCCCAGTGAAGTCTGCAGCATTCTCCATCTCCGCCACCCTCCCACCCAAAACATACACACCCAAACTCGTTTTTGTAACTTTAATTACTCTTCTGTGTTCCCATAGCCCTTTATTCATAGTTTTATTACAGTAATTATTACAACAATTTGTATTTGGTTGTTTATATTTCTTTGCCTCTCATAATATTGCAAGTTTTTCTAGAGCAATAAATGTGCTTTTATTTTTTGAAATCTCTGTATCCCTAGTCTCTAGCACAGAACCTGGTATATAATACGGCAAAAAATTTAGACTAGAGGGAAGGAGATAGGTTTTGACGAAGGGAGGAGGGAGATGAGAGGGGTATTAAAACAGACTCTCTTCAGAATTAAGAATTGTATTGTGACAAAATAATGTCATAAATTATACACATTCCTTATCTCTATGTGTAAACAAGCCTTAGGACAATGCTATTGCCAACATTTTTTTCATTTTTTAAAATAAATTTTATTTTATTTTTATCCCATTCTCCCGTCAACCCCCCTCCCTACCCTATGTTCAAAACCTTTATTTCCATTTTTTCCTTCTATTTTCACTTTTTTTCTTGTCCCTTCCTTTCTCCCTCCCTCCATTCCCCTTCCCCTTTGAACACTTACTAACTTTTTTTTGGGGGGCGTTTTTTGAGACAGGGTCTCACTGTGTAGTTGAGACTGACCTGGAACTCACTATGTAGCCCAGGCTGGTCTTGAACTCACAGCGATCCTCCTATCTCAGCCTCCCGAGTGCTGGGATTACAGGTGTGCGCCACCACGCCCGGCTTCTTACTAACATTTTTAAAGGCATTTGGAATTAATATACATTTTGAAAACAGTACTGTATTGCCCTCCTTTTTTTTTTCCAGTACTGGGAACAGCACAGCACCATTTAGCTATATTCATGTCCCCTGTATTATTCTCTTTTTGTTTTGTTTTTTGAGACAGGGTCTCACTATGTAGCCCAGGCTGGTCTCAAACTCACAGCGATCCTCCTGCCTCAGCCTCCTGAGTGTTAGGATTACAGGCATGTGCCACCACGCCTGGCTTAGTATTATTGTCTTTTTCAAAACGTGAAAATTTAGATCATTCTCCCCACACTCAGCCCAAATTAGTCAGTTGGGCTAGGTTGATACATTGTAAATTCTCACTATTTGATCTCAGAATCCTGTGTCAAGAAGAATTCCTGGTTTTCTTATGTTTTCCAGGACTATAGAAGGAGTAGCCGAGCTGCTGATGAAAACAAAATATTTGCCCCCACCCCAGCCCAGTAAACCTACCTGTTTCCTCTAGGAGCCATTCTCCAGCCACCTTGAAAAGCCTGGTGCAAACTTGGCTGTAAAGGTCCTTTGTAGCTATAACATTCCCTAAACATTTGTCACCCCTCTCTGGGGATTAGAAGTGTAGATGAACCTAGTTATTACAATATAAACATTTAACCCAAAGGATATTTGATACCTCATGTCTGTTTTCTTGATAGTATTTACAGGGAAGCTATTTCTACCCTTAAGATATACTTCATGAAAGAGCACAGTATGACCGAGTGTGAGAACTAGGGTTACCACAGATGAAGAAATCACCAGCTCTGAAATGTGACTTCAGACTGCAATAAAGAATGCTTAGTCCTTCAGTTACTCTGTGTGTAGGAAGGGTGTATGTATGTGCACACATACACATGTGGTATTGTGTGTGTTTGTGCATGCATGCATGCTTTGTCAGAGAGGAGGCAAAAGCTGCACAGAGGAATGACCAAAACTAATATTTCAGAAATAATGTCTTTGGAAATTTGCATTTGCTTGTTCTGACCAATCAGTGACCAAAATAGCACATGTATCAATAACCTGGCCAAGGATCATCCCTGATGTTGCCAGGCTGAAAGGACGTGATGGACATTAGTGGGCTACTATTAGAACAGAGCTGCCTTCTGGGGTGTAATTGGCAGAGATTTTTGATATTACCCCTGTGGCTATCTGTAGACAGACAGAAATGTCCAAATTTTAGCTTTTTATGCTCAGATGACTTCTAGCTGTATGTCTGCTACTTGTGCAGTGGATACATGCACTTGCATATACAACCCACTTCAGTGTCTTTGCTTGTGTCCTCTCTGTTTCTAGGATGTCTTGTCACCTCTTCTCTACCTAATAACTACCCAACACTTAAGACATAGTCTATAGAAATCTGAACCATTCTTCCAAATCCTATCTTCTCTGTAAAGTATTTTGTACCTACTTAGTAGCTCCTTATTCCTTAAATTTCATTAATCTGGTCTATACCATTGAAGGATTTCGTTGTTTTCTAATTACTTAATTGAAGATGGTAAAGCCCATAGTGACAAAAATGTATTTTTCCTGTATTATCTTGAAGAATACACGCAGTCTTTTAAAACTTCTCACTTATTAAAGATTCCCTATCATATGTGATTGTTTCAAGGTTAAAGGAAGATAATGCTTGCCAAGTACAGTACTGGCATATGGTAAATGTTCAATAATTGGTGGTAGTGATGGGTGTAGGTGGTGATAGTTGTGCTAACAGTAACAAGGATTACTATCATCATCGATCCCTTCAACTTAATTGTACAGTGTTTGAGGCAGAGGCCATGTCTCCTGTTTGCTTTTTTTGCTAAACCCCCACCAAATATCTCAGTTGGCTAGCTTGATGTCTGCTGATGGTTTGCTCAGCTTTTTGCAGTAGTATAGCCTCAAAGATATGAAATTGCATCAGGACTATAATTTTCATATTTTATTGACAACTGCAGAAGCCCTAGGCATTTTTTTTCTTGGTTTGCATGTATGAGTAGTTTGGGTGGAAGCTGCTGAAATAATCATATGCTAGTAGACTGAGAAGAATAGGAAACTTCCTAATCATCCCAAACTCCTGTGTTGCGTATGCTTGGAAAAAAAAAAAACCCAGTGTGGGGAGGGATGAGAGAAGCAAACACTTACAGTAATATGCCATCTGGTAGATTGCTTTTAAATTTCAAGACTTCCTGCCAGTTTGATCCGTGTTGTTTTAATCCTTATAGGAAAGCAGGCATTGTGGCCTTATCCACTACTTGTCCATCAGACCATTTCCATAAAGATTTTGCCAGAGTTTACACTGATAAGTAAACTAGATACTAGAACCTTAAAATGACAAATCATCTGGCCTGTCATTTCTTTTCAGCTGATAATAGTAGAACTCTGAATGTAGATTCCACTGCAATGACGCTGCCTATGTCTGATCCAACTGCGTGGGCCACAGCAATGAATAATCTTGGAATGGCACCGCTGGGAATTGCTGGACAACCAATTTTACCTGGTATGTTATGTTTAATCACCTTATAAATGCTTCGTTTTATTTACCATGTGGCAATAAATATAACTGTATGACACAACTTATTTTGAAGTTGACATTTACCAGATTCTGCCGAGAGTGTGCATTTTGTAGTATGAGCTTTATAGGCTGAGTGGCCAATAGTTACTAGTACACTCCTTATTGCACTTTGGGCAAGCTGGGGGTGTGTCTGATGCAGGATAGGGTCATTAAACATTTAAACGCATCACTGAACTAAAAGGCAACAGGATTTTGGCTAGTAATTACAAAGCCTGTCTAATTTTATTGATTTCTTAGAGGAGGCAAATAAATATGAATATGGAAAGAGAACTAACTTAGACACCCTCAAAATCTTAGATTCCTAAAGAGGAAGAAAGGAGATGGCAGGGACAGCAGCCCGAAGACTATTTTAACATTGAATAACTTTGTTTATAACTATACGCACATACGAAATAATCCATAAGAGAGTGGGCATGGTAGACTAACTTCATCTCCATTAAAGAGAAAATCAGAAGAAAAAGAATCACAGCTGAAGAGTTTAGTTTACACGCAAGCAGGTTTCTTGAACAGTCAGAGCTAACTAACCATTACAATGCTTTTGTGAAAACATTTAGGAATTGCCTTCTCAAGAAGCCTGGGATGGCTTTTTCAACAGCCTAAACATTAATCTCCTCAGATTACTTTGTCCTACTTAAAAACACAAGACCAAGCCAATCTAGAATTCTGTTATGCAAAATGTGCTTTGCATAATCTGGGAATCATTTAAAATTCCAGAATGTCAGGCCCCAGGTTAGACCTACTGGATCAGAAGCCACATTTTCACAAGATCCTCAAGTGGTTCATAGGCACATTCATGTTGATAAATAGATCAAGAGTGATGCTACTTTGTTGTGCCACTTGTTTATAGAGTATTCCCTCCCTCCCCAAATAATTCTCATAATTCTAACCCATATTTAAATCCTTATAGGTTATAAAAGGGATGGGGTAGGTTGGACAACAATAACATTAATAATAAATTAAGACATCATATTGAACACCAAGAAACACGCATAAAAGCAATCAAACATGAAGAAAAGAGTATGTGAATGAGAAATGAGAGGAGCCTCACTTCTGTATGTGGGAAAGACAACCATTATACTAAACTATAATGTATATCGTGGGCTGTATTTGGTGATACTGTATCCTCTGTTACACTGACTGTGACTGAAATGAATAACCACGGATTCTTCAAGTGCTAGAATGATTGGACCATGAATCTCCTTATGTTTTAAGTGGCTACCAGGGCCAATCGGGGGACAGTTTATGTTAGTGCAGAGTGGCTAAGATATCAGACTATGGATTAAATCTGCCTGGCTTCCAAGCTTGTTTCTTTCATTAATTTCCCCATGCATAAAATTGGATTAACTCCTAGTTGTGAGAACTAAATCATGCTTAGGATAATGCCTGGTGTACAGTAGGTGCTTTAAAATATTTAAAGTTATTACTATATGTCTCATAAAGGTTTCTAAAAGAAGTAATGTATTTTTGTTTGCTCTTTATTATTTCATTATGATAGAATTTAAACTGAACTATTACATATTATTTTATACCTCTATATGGTACAGTTTTGAGTCACAATTGCTTATAGTTGAAGGTGACTAGACAACCTGATTGGGTCTAAATATCCCCAGCTAATGGCATTCCAGACCACATAGGCAGATATCCCAGGAAAAATTTCAAGGCCACATCTGCTCTGAGACTAAGGGAAAAAATGTTAACTGATGTCAGCTTATTTGTAAATTACCACATCTAAGCACAAATCTGTGAACACAAATTAATTTTCAGTTCTTATTCACTCATCTATAATGTGAAGCAGAAAGGACCTAGCACTGTAAGCAAAGATTCTTCTAAGCAACCATCGTAGGCTTAAAGTTGCAGCTGGGGTCGATAATATGGCTAGCCAATGGGGGTAGGTTTTCTTAGTTTGCTCAGAGGGCTAATTCTACAGTGATAGTACTTTGTTTAGTGCTTAACAACAGCCCGTGAAGTCACACTACTTGGATCTGTGTCCTTGCCTGTTACTTGTTAGCTGTATGCCCTTGAGCAAGTTATCCAACTTCTCTGTATCTCGGTTTACTCATCTGTAAAATGGGAATAATTATATTGTATACCTCAAAAATTGCTGTGTAGATTAAATAATGTACTTAGCACGATGTTTGACATATAATAATCACTCAAATGTTCACTGTCATCATTACTACTATTAATAGCACTATAAACTCATTGAGGTAAGGGAAGTACTAACATTCTTCCTTCAAATGGCTGCTAAGCTCTCACTTAAATTGAAAAAAGTTGAATGCTCTATGAAAGCTATTACCTCTAGTGAGCATTACCCACATCCATCTCTAACCAGAAATTTGAAATCTCAAGAGTGGTTTTAATTTTTGCCTACAGTCCCATCCCTACATTTTGTTTCCTTAATAACTGTAAAGAAATAAAAGGTTGGCTTCTCAGAGTCTCCTTCAACCTTGTGATTCAGTGACCCTGATTACCTCTGTGCTGCAAGGGAGGTTTCTTGACTCTTTGAAAACTTAGGAAATCTAATATTTAGTCCAGTAGTTCCTCTCTTGTCTTAACATACATGGGCAATACCATCAATCCATGACATCCATTGTAAAACGAGGTATATAGTCACTTTCCTATGCTGATTTTTTCCTGGGTGTAAAATTCTTTATCATTGAGAGTAGAACATGGGTTCTGGTTCAAACTGCTTAGGTTCCAATCCCTATCTACCACTAACTAGCTGTGACTTTTGGAAAGTCACTTAACCCCTCTCTTTCTGGAGCTAATAATAGCACCTATGAGAATTAATGAGTTAATACATGTCAAGTCTAAGATGAATGGCTTGCAATAATCCCTCAGTTAACTCAGCTGTGATCATTATTATACTTTCCAATTCACATATGATATATGACTTACAAAAATTTAAATTATGGATCATTTGTACCCTTAATAGCAGTGAAGGGTAACGGATATGAGAGTGAAATTCTTCCCAGGTGAAACACTGGACTGTGGCAGGTGAAGAGAACAGTATGCATCCAACAGTGCTTGTGACTGTTCCTTGTATATCTATCTAGTGGGGAATCTCACCAAAGTGGAAGGCTGGCAGCACACTCCACTGCTGCCTGCCCTTCAACTTGTCAAAGTTTGGAGAATGAGCTGCCTCAAACCATAAGTTTCCTTAAAATAAAAAAAAGCAGCAAATAATTCTCATGGAAACCTTCTTTAGGATCACCTGTTTATGGCCCAATAATTCAGCTACATTTCTGCCCCCTCCCAGTAATTTCATCCTGAGCCAGAAGAAGGTTGTTTGTCCTTTCTCATCTGGCCTATTTGACAATAAAAAAGGCTTTGACGTTGATGAAAAATAAATGATACATTAGTCTTCTTGACTTCCCCAGAGAGCTCAAATCTATACCGTCATGGATTCTGAGTCTCTTGGACACACATTTGTCACGAAGGCAGTGCCTGGTGTAATTGTTATATTTGTTGAGTAGAGCGCAGAGACAGGCCATCTCTAGGGTTTGTTGCAGAGCCGCAGTTCATCTAACATGATGTTTTGTGGAGCTGCTTTTCCACAAAGTTAATTAATAGTGATAGAAGATCAAGAGATTCCCCTCTTGCAACTATATTTTCTGCCATAGTGTTTGCTTTGCCAGACTGCTCAAATAAAACTGATGTTAGTTTTCATATGAATAGAAACACATGAAATAGTAAAGCTCCTGGTTAAGGAAAATAGTTCTGCCCCAGTCATCCCACAGGAAACCAAAAATGAACCCACTAAGGGATACTGGTTGAATTGCTGCTTGTTGCTTCCTTTATTTATCCCTCAATTACAAAATCATCAACAGCTAAGTGTGGAGCCTGTGAAGTCTCAAAGGGGCAGAGTCCCTCAGGATGATGTGTCCACTGTAGTGATTCCACTCTAATGAGAGATAGTGGAAAATATGGACTCGGAACCTTATTCCCAGAGCAGGCCCCTGCCCATCAATAAACATTGACATTCTTAAGGAGACAGCTCTCATTGAACCAAGAAGGCCAACTCTGATGAGAACAGAAAGAAAGAATGAGGTTATATGTCCTACGACAGGCCAATTTTTCTGCAAGCTCTTCAAGGATACCTGGACTTGGACTGTATTATTTCAAACATCGTCCACAAATACAGGTTCTTTTCAGTGGCAAATAAGGTGAGATCTTGAGAAAGAATACTGTTCATCATCATGGTGAACACTTTACCAAGAGCCAACAATGTATAAAATATTATATCAAACAGCAAAACTGTTTCTCCAAAGTAGGTTACTCTCAAGACTCCCCATGCAATATACCTGTATCATATTTACTCAGCTAGGTTCCAAGATGTCCTGCATGCCCCCACAACTTACATAGCAAGATTAATGGAACAGTAAACATCAGGTATTGAGACACTCTCAAGTGCTGAGGCCTAGTCATGTCTCCCAAGGACTACTATGCAAAAATAAATGCTGAAGCACTCATTGTCATAGTGTGTGAAAAGAAATGCTGTAGAGCTAATTTGATGTGGAAATATTTTAAGCTATTTAAAGCCTCCAGAGAAGTACAGAAAGTTTGCTGAGCTTGGTGGTGCATATGTGTAATCCTAGTACTATGGAGGCTGAGGCAGGATGTCTGTAAATTTGACGCCAGCTTGGGGTACATAGTGAATTCAAGATAAGCCTGAACTACATGGCAAGATCCTGTTGCAAAAGAAGAAAGAAAAGTATATGAAGCTCGATGGGTAGAAGATCTTTAATGTAACAATTGCACAGCCTTCGCTAGCTGTAATAAATAAATGTATGATAATAGGAATAGGAATTAAAAAAGATTTCCCATGGAAGCCGTTAGGAAGTGTATGAGGGAGTATATTTGTTTATTTATTCATTTATACAAAAGCATTTATCAAGGCCTACCACAGAAAGTGGTGACCAAAA